TAAATTTCATATATAAATAAAAAAAAAATAAAAAATAAAAAAATTTTAAAAAATAAAATTAATCTATGGCTCTTACTTTATAGATCCGGGCAGGGTACCTCCATGGGCTTGTAGCAACAAGACCTGTAGCTGTTGTACCTGGGAAAAGCAAAGAAAAATAGTAAGCTAATCACCAGTCAAAAGCTACTTATCCCTTGTCAGCTAAATTACTACGATTAGCCATAGAGTAATTCTACTCAGTGCCTATGAAATCTAAGGCATATTTAGGCCTTACAGCAATCATCAAGGTTGACGATTCAGTGACAAAAGTCCAAACAGCACTATATGAATAGCTAGTACTTAGAACTTGAGTTGTTCCTTTTACCTAAGCATCTCAATGACTTTTACCGAATGTCTATTTTTATTTTTATTTTTATTTTTTTTCAACGTTTATTTATTTTTGGGACAGGGAGAGACAGAGCATGAACGGGGGAGGGTCAGAGAGAGAGGGAGACAGAGAATCGGAAACAGGCTCCAGGCTCTGAGCCATCAGCCCAGAGCCTGACGCGGGGCTCGAACTCACGGACCGCAAGATCGTGACCTGGCTGAAGTCGGACGCTTAACCGACTGCGCCACCCAGGCGCCCCGCAAATGTCTATTTTTAAAACATTTTTCTAAGTTGGGGCACCTGGGTGACTCAGTTGGTTAAGCATCCGACTTCAGCTAAGGTCATGATCTCACAGTTCGTGGGTTCGAGACCCGTGTGGGGCTCTGTGCTGACAGCACAGCCTACTTTGGATTCTGTGTCTCCCTCTCTCTCTCTGCCCCTCCCCCCGCTCATACTCTGTCTCTCTCAAAAATAATCATTAAAAAAATTTTTTTTTAAGTTTATTTATTTTTGAAACACAGAGAGAGAGAAAAAGTGAGGGAGGGATAGAGAGACAGACAGATAGACACAGAATCCAAAGCAGGTTCCAGGCTCTGAACTGTCAGCACAGAGCCCGATGTGGGGCTTGAACCCACAAACTGCGAGATCATGACCTGAGCCCAAGTCGGACACTTAACCGACTAAGCCACTGAAGTGCCCCTTGAGCATCTATTTTTTTTAAAGTCAAACTCAGCTCTAGGCCAGGTAATATGAGGAGGATACGAGAATAAACTCCTGTGTTTTATTCTCAAGTTTATAATCTAGTTGACAAAGACAAGCCTATGGCCTGAAATAGTAAGAGACAAAGAAGATAGAAGATGTGAATTCATAAAATACAGTTAAGTACTTTAGGGCTCTGAGAAGAAGCAAATTAATAAAATTCCAGAACAGTCAAAAGGAGGCTTCTTGGGGCTGGTTCTTAAACCAGAGTGCATGCACATTCATCCTCTCTCATTCCCTCCTACGATGAAAGAGGAGCTGTGCCACCTCTTACAACCAGTCTCCTTGCTTGTGCTTTGGATCCCAAACTCTTCTTGCCTCCTGATGAATCACACTGTTATCCCCTCTCTCTTCTGTATCTTCCACGTCTCCCTTTCTACAGGATCCTTTCTATCAAGATTAAAACATGTTCAAGTCTCTCCAATCTTAAAACAAAACAAAAGCACCCTTCTCAATCCCACTTCCTATCTTTTGTCCTATTTCTCTCCTTCACAAAGTTTGAGAGCATCGTCTATACCTGTTGCCTCCATTTCCTTTTGTTCACCTCTCTCACCTGCTCAACCTATTCAAATGTGATTTCTGCCTACAGCATTCCACTCACAAAACTCTTGCTAAGGTCACCAATGATCTGCAGGTCACTATATCCTATGGGCATTTTTCAGTCTTCATTTTACTTGACTGTTTGGTAGCAGTTGGCTTACCAGATACCATACTTTTCCTGCTTTTCCTTCTATTCTTCTAACTGATCTTCTAAGGCTCTTTCTTGGCTAATCTTCACACCAAGTGTCCTTTAGATGATAAATCCTCAAAACTCAGTATCAGTCTTCTTGCTTTATACTCTCTCCTTAAAGTCTCATCTCTGACTATGGTTTCAATTACCATCTATGAACAGGGGACTCCCAAATTTATCTCAAACACAAGTCTTTTTTAATTTAGAGCTTTATATTCAACTATGTACTTAATTAATATTTCCACTTAGTTGTCTGCTATCCCCAAACCTGGTCCTTTTCTAGTGCACTCAAGGTCAGTGAACATGCAGCTTCACATGCCAGAAATTTGGCTGTCGAACCCTCATGCCCTTATCTAAGCCACTGGTCATTTCTTTCCATCACTGTCACCATAACCCTAAGTCTAAGCCACTATTTAGCTCTCTCTTGGACCACTGTAGTAACTTCTTTTTTTTTTTTTTTTTTTTTAAATTTTTTT